GCTGTGGTGTAGTGGTTAGGTGTGCTGGGATGAAGGTTGGACTAGATGATCTTCAGAGGTCCCTTCCAACCCCAAACATTCTGTCATTCTGTGATTCTGTGATTCTGTATTCAGTCTCAGGAAGGTCCCACGGTGACATGGGACCGGAGGATTTGTTCCCGGCCGGCCGGGTGGAAACATGAAGTAATTTTTGAGAAGTAATTTTTCTCCGAGTTTATTCGGTTAATCTGGATAGAGCATTGTTGGAGACACACTCCAGCTGTTCCCACCCAGGCTGAAACTAATTTAGCTTAATTCAAAGATTTGCTGACACGAGTTAAAATGGTTTTAATCTGCCCTTTGTGCTCTTTAGCTTGCGTATTAGCAAATTTTTGAGCGCGTTTGACATGCGTGGCCCGGGCTTGGCACGTCCTTTGCCTAATGCCAGCAAGATCCCGCGTTTGCAAATTGTCTCTGTTAAATCTGGTCAGTTTGGGGGGGATAGGTAGGCACCCCATCAGAGCATCAAACCTCTGCCTTCCTGCAGACCCTTCCAAATGCATCTCCTCATCCCCAAAGAGCTCTTTTGCGTGATGCTGCTGCTAATAATCTAAAAAAAGAAAATAATCCCACCCTCTGGAGAGCTTTGCCCATCGTCCTTCCTTCCAGTGACTGGATTTTCAATGACCTTGCAGGTCTTCTAGATGAAGGTGCTGGGATTCCCCAGAATATTTCTTCATCCTCATCTGCTTCTCTGATAGATAACATAAAGCTGTCACTTCATTACTTCACCCCCACCAGACTTTTTTTCCTTTTTCCAGGTAATTTCTGAATCGGATGAACCACGACTGCCCCTACAGTGACCTCCTCGGGCAGAAAATGTGGATCATTACCTCTCACTTAGTTGAGGGGTTTTAATTTTACAAATAGCCCAATTCACTCCGTTTCTGCTGATAATATCGAATAACTTTATCAATATATTGTGGAATTATACTGGATGAAGAAAGGATTTTTGTTCGACTCAGTACCTAAAATAGACAGTTTTATTTCTTGGGTTTTTAACCAGATCCGTGGAGACATCATCCCTCTTACTCTGTTGAGGTCTGCAAATTTCTTTCCCTGTTTTTTTTTTCCCCCAAATTTCATTCGTGGAACTTTAAGTTTTAGGCTTCAGCTCACTCCCTGTGATCGTTCCCCATCGCTCTCTGCCACCCGAGAAATGTTTCATCCTTTGCTTTATCAGGTTGTCTGTCAAACTTTTTTTGGCCAGCTTTAGGACGATTTTCTCCAAGAATTTATCTTGTCATTTTTTTACCTTCGTTTGGGCTTTACTTCCACATTTTTTAGTGATTTTTTTTTTTTTCTCTTCACGATAACTGAGGACACAGTGCTCAGTCCTCCAGGGTGCTGGTCCCAGCCCGGGGGCTTTCCTACATCTGCTGCTTTCCCTCTACCTTGAATTTTAAAACTCCTCTGCAGCCTTTTTGATTTTAGGTGGAGAAAATGGGTATTGATGTGTCTTTGATATCAAGCTCTGGTCCTGAATTTGTCCTGAAATGGCTCTTAAAGCAGAGAAAAACCAGTTCTAATTGGTGGAAATACATTCTTAGGAACAGTAAAACTCAGAGGACTCCTCATGTTGATATTCAGGCATGACAAGATGAAGATGATGAGTGTTGGGAATGCCTCTGGGACCCTAATTTTGCCTCTCAGACACTTAAGTATAAATATATATGGAGAGATGCTATGGCTACATGGCATGATGATATATTTTCCATGGTTTATCAGCCTTATTCGGTGCAAAATTTGATTGAAGCCCATCAATGAGCATCTGTTCCTCTGGGTAGGAGAAGCTGGAGGAATCACTCCCCGGGCTTGCTGGTCCAGCTTGGCCGTGCTGTTGGGAGATGCCTCCAAAGCATTTTCTCAACACTTCTTCAAGGAGAAGGGCTGGTTTTATCCCTATTGGCCAAGAGGAAGATGAGTTGTGGGGAGATGAAGGGGAAAGA